AGTGGTGAGAGGTGATGGGAACTCTCACTGGGTGAGATCTAGCTATCTTCTGGCAAGAAGTCCAGTCCTTTCTGACTGTGCTGAATCTGCTGGTGGTAGGAGTGTGGCATGGAGGTAAGGAACGTGCCTGGAGAGCTGGAGAACCTTCTGCTCCCAGCTGTGCCGCAAGTCACTGTGGAACAGCAGAAAAATTTCTTAACTTTTTCCAAACATTGGCTTCTCTGCCTCTTCAATGGTGACTGTATGGTTTGCGCGGAGTTTGGAGGCTGCTTTTAAGGTGCGAAGTTACTCAAGAAGGGAAGCCAATCTCATCTTAGAGAACATCTGGGGCTTAAAGTCCCCCAGGCTGATTTTGTAGGGCTGGGGACCGGTGCATGAGCGAGGTGTGGTGGGATAAAGCCCTTCTGCTTGCTTTGCTCAGCTCTTGCTAAGACTGTGCAGAGCAGGAGCAGCCGTTGATCTGGCCGTGCTTTTTTGTACGCAATATGCTTTCTGAAGAGAGGTAGTTAATGCCTTGTCCAAGGGTGATACCCAGTCATTGCTTGAGGATGTTCCTCTTAACTGCTGTGGTGTCCTCTCTGTATCTGCCTCCTAGAGCAGTATCTCAGGAGGCTTCACATAGGGGCTGAAGAGATTTGCGGGCATTGTGTCACGTTGCCTGCAGAGCTGCTATCAGATTTGTGACAATCCGATGTCAGAAGGTCTCTTGTTATCCTCCCTGCTGTTTTGTCTCAGTTGGTCCATCAAACCCCTTCTTTCTTCCCTGGGTGGTGGTTGTGCTCTCTCTTGAAAGTGTGCTTGACACCTGAGGAGAAGGCAGGGAAACCCACAGCTTTTGCGATGTGTTGCTCTGCTTGGAAAGGTGCGGAGCAGCAGCCAGCCTCGGTGACGAGGGTATCCCCGAAGGGTGCTGGGACATGACCGCTCGCAGCGTTTTGCCCTGGTTGTGTTGTGAAACGTGACCGCGGGCATTTCGCCAGGCAGTCACCACGCCGTCCCTTCCACCTGCTCCGAATACCTTGCACCTTGCGGGTTTGCCAAAGCAGCTCTTGGTTTAGCAGCTCTGCTACTGGGAGTCCAGCTCGAGGGAGGTGATGAAGGGACAGAATATTATTTTATTTTTATGGTTTTTTTTCAGATTTGCTCAGCACCCTCATAAACCATTGCACAGCACTGATTAAAAACCTTGACCTCAACACTTCTCTTAGTGTTTTTGAGATGCT